CCCTGGTGCCTCTAAGGCTAGTCCCTCTCTCCGCCACAGGAACAGTCCTTTATTATTGCCATCTACCTCCATGCCACCTCTTCCGTCTCTCTCTCTCAACTCTTCCCCATCAGCATTCGTGTATGTTCTGATTTCTCCAGCTCCAACTTCAGATCTCCCTACTTCTTTCCTTTCCATATTCCCTAACTCTCTCTCTTCCCTTTAGAACAAATCTCTTGAAGAAGGAGCTACATTTGCTCTCATCCTGTCTTTATCTCCAAGTCATTTCACAATTCTGCCCCCAATAGTCCACTGAAGCCACTGATGACTTCTTTATAGTACATACGATGGAACCTTCTATATCCCACCCTGGTTTGATCTCTGGTAGCCACTAACACCACTGACCTGTCCCTTTGCCTGTTGTTCTCTATCCTCTGCCACTCCTCCTTTACCTCCATGGGCTCCTTTCTCTCTGTCTCTTACAGCTTCCTGGGAAGCTTCCTGAATGCTTCTCTTTAGCTACCTTCCCCAGGCAGTGCCATCTATTCCTATGGCTTCCATTACTGTGTGACGCCAAAGACTCCAAACCCACTTCTCCAGCTCAGCATCTCCTCTGGCTTTCAGACCAGTAGATTCAGCTACCTACTTGAAAACTTAATGGAAACCAATATGAGACATAACTTTGCACCTGTTAGAACAGTTCTTATCAAAAGGATGAAAGAAAAGAAGTTTTGGTAAGGTTGTAGAGGAAAGGGAATCCTGACATGCTGTTGCTGGGATTGTGAATTTGTGTAGCCATTGTAGAAAATATTGGGTCATTGGAAAAGTCATGATGTATTTTTGTATGTTTTTCTATGCAAAAATGTGTCATGACTTTTCCGACAACCAGTAGTGTGGAGATTCCTCAAAAAATTAAAAATAGAATTGCCATTTATTTTGGTCCAGCAATCCTACTAGCAGGATCATACTAGCAGGATCTACCCAAAGGAAATGAAATCAGTACGCTGAAGCGATGTCTGCACTCCCATGTTCATTACAGAACTATTTGCAACAGACAAGCTATGGAAACAACCTAAGTGTCATAAGTGAAGGGAGGGGTTAAAAAATGTGATATTCGGGGACCAGCAGTTAGCGTAATGGCTATGTCGCTGGACTCCCATGTAGTCGACTGCAGTTCGCATCCCGGACCCGGTGGCTTGAAACTCACGCTGGGCGTGTGTGTGTGTGTGCCCAAGATCCTGAGAGGAGAATGGAGGAGAAGGGATTGTGGCGTGGCCATCCCCCCTGGGGGGTGATTTCTCACTTTCTGTCTCTCTGTCTCTCTCTGTCTGTTTGGTAAGCGTATGTGCTGCACCCCATAGCAAAAAACAAAAACAAACAAACAAAAAACCTCTTAAAAAAATGTGATATTGGGGTCAGATAGTGCCACAGCTATAAAGTGTGAGTCAGGGCCACATGGGAAGGTTTCCAATTTGTCTGGAAACTTCCCTGAGTACCCTAGGCAGACACTTGCCCATGATCCAGTCTGGCTGAATCTCTGTTGGGGGTTCTTTCTCTCTCTTTCCATTCATAGAGGAAATAAAAACTTAAAAAAAATGCAACACACACACACACACACACACACACACACACACGGGAATACTATTCAGCTCTAAAAAGTAGGAAATTTTGTTATTTGTGACAGTGTGGATGAACCTAAAGGGTGTTATGTTAAGTGAAATAAGCCAGGTACAGAAAGACAAATCAGTGACAACTATTCTTGTTTCAAAGATGAAGGCTTTTTTTTTTTTTTTTTTTTTTTTTCTGCCACAGGGCACATGTGCTTGCCAGAGAGAGACAAGACTGGAAAAGTAAGAACTCACCCCCTAAGGGGGTTGGCCGCACCGCAGTCTCTTCTCTTTCATTCTCCTCTCAGGATTTTGGGCAGGCACTCACATGTGCCTGTGTGATTTTCAAGCTGCTGGGTCTGAGACTCGAATTATAAAGTTAGCCATGTGGGATTCAGCCACCTTAACCACCATGCCACAGGCTGGCCCCAATAGTCTATATTTATTGAGGCTTTAGTAGATACCAGAAACTGTTTTGAGTGTTCTCTAAGCTTTAATTTCTTTAACCCTTACAAGCACCTTATTGTGAAGGTGTTAACATCCTTATCTGTAAAATAAGGTAACTGAAGCAGAAAGGATTACTGCAACGTTTTGATAGGTCTCTTGACCTTTCCTGAAGGGGTCTTCCTATTCATTCTTTCCCAGATAACTTTCTTTAAAACACTTCTTAAGGGGAGCCGACAGGTGGTGTGGTGGTTAAGGGTGCTGGACTCCCACATGGCTCAAGTCCTGGACCTGGCAGCTTGCTTTCTTACTTTCCCTTTCTCTCTCTCGCTCTGTCCCTCTCTGGTCAAATTAAAAGAGAAAAAAAAGTTAAATAATATAATTCTTTTAAAAAAATATTTGCCTAGGGGCTGGCAGGTGGCATGGTGGTTAAAAGTGCTGGACTCCCACATGGCTGACCTCGGTTCAAGTCCCAGACCTGGCAGCTTGCTTTCTCACTCTCTCTCTCACTCTATCCCTCTATGGTCAAATAAAAATAAATACATAAATGGATAAAGATAAATAAAATAAAGAAAATTTTTTTAAAAATTGCCTATTTAAAAAAAAAAACAAAAAACACTTCTTAAGTCAGGTTCCTGTCTTGCCTAAGTCACTGGTTTCCTTTCCCCTTTGGGTAAACATAAAGCTCTGTTAACACAGATTTATAAGGCCTTTCATACTCAGGTCCCTGCCTGCCTCTCTTGTCTAATCTTCTAATCCCCAGACGTGTGCCCTTTGCTCCAACCATCCTAAATTGCTGTGTAATGAAGTGGAGAATTTTATTCAGTAGAAATGCTTTACAAGAATGTTTTGGATGTAAGACATGTGTGGGAGAAGAACCACACATCTCACTTTGAAGGCTGTCAGAGTAAAAGTGGAGTTATTTATGTCAATTTGTGTTAAACTCTGACTATCCTGAGCTGCGGAAGGTCTTGGAGGGGGCGGTTCTCACTCAGGTATGTCTGATCACAAGAACTGTCACAGGGACTCTGCCAGAATAGCATCTTGCACAAAGGCTACTGCAGCGTCACACAGACGTACTTTGATAAGGATGTCTGTCCAGAAACTGCCTGTCCAACCTAGGACTTATGCCACCCTTGTCATTGATTCTGGTTGCCAAAGATAACTGTCCCAAGACAATTTATGTAATTCCTCCTTATTCACAATACCCTCTTCATTAAACTCTTCCTCTTAAAAAAAACCAAAACAACACACAAACAAACCACAAAACCCTGGTCTTTCCTTGCCTCCCTGATACCGTAGTTCACTATGGCAAATGCATTCCTTTTTGGCAATGCCTATTCTGGAATAAACATGATTTTCTTTTAGAGAGTCTTTCTCTCTGCTTGTTTTTTTGAGGCTGACACCAGGGGACTCTCTTCTACTTCCCTTAGCTGGAGATGTGGTAAGATGGGGGTGGATGAAGACTCCAGATCCTCCAGCTTTCTCCCGTGGCCTAGCATGGCCAGCCGGTATGAAGGTCCCTTCTGGCCAGCAGGGGGCCTGTGCACTACACGTGAGGTAGATGGGGAGGGAGAAGGGTAAAGGAGAGAGTAAGGGAGTGTGGGGAGTATGCAAATCATTGTCTAGAGGGACATTTAGTATTTTGTGGCATGCCTGACATGTAAAGCCCCTTCAGGAAAATCTAAAAGTAACACCTACTATCCACTGAAATGAATTTGCCCTTTCTTCCATAGCAATTAGCATATTTCCCAGGTGGTTTTCTTTTCATTTCCTTCTTCCTTTTCTTCTTCCTTCCTTCTGTTCTCCCTTCCTTCCTTCCCTCTCTTTTTCTTTTCCTCCCTTCCCCCTTCTTTCCTTCCTTTTTTTCTTTTCCTTTCTTTTTATTCCTTCTCTCTTTCTTTCTTTTTTAGTTTTAGTTTTTTTTTTTTTTTTTCTTTGCCACAGAGTGCATGTGTTGGCCAGAGAGGCAGAGAGGGGAAAATGAGAAATCACCACCACCCTCCCCACCACCAAGGGGGAATGGCCACAGAACAATCCTTTCTCCTCCATTCTTTTTCTCTTCTTTTCTTCTTCTTCTTCTTTTCATAAAAGGCATGTGTGCTCTCCAAAGAGAGAGAGAAAGGAGACAGAGAGAGAGAGAGAGAGAGAGAGAGAAAGGGAAAGTGAGAAATCACCCCCTGGTGGGGGAGTGGTGGCCACTCTGCATTTCTTTCTCCCTCAGCCTCCTCTTGGGAATTTGGACATGCATGCACCTATA